GCAAAGTTTTAACGCTATGACTTTGAAAAATTAAGTTTATAAAAAAACTTCTACTGCAGAACCCGTCAGTATGTGGAAGGGTATACACTATACAGCCTTATTTAAAAGTGTATTTTGTCCTCTAAAAAATTGAACCTACGCCGCCCATGCTGTCAATAATATTATGTCCCAAGATTTGAGTACTTGTTATTTTTCATTGTAATAAAAAGGGTGTAATTCTTCTTTGCTTAGCGTTTTAAAAGATTAGATTTATGGTAATAAACAATGGCCTAATGTTGCTGAATAATTAAGTACTCTAAAATATATGTCAATAGAAAATTGTTTTCTGACGCTAATAGTTTATAAATATATATTCAATATTTTTTTTCACTTAACAAAAAAACTAGAGAAAAAATTGACAGTATTAGGTAGTAGATATTTTGAACTAAGAAACAAAAGATGTATTTTATAGACTGTTTGTTAATATTTTCATTTTTCGAATTACTATGGTCAATTTAACTTTCATGATTGTTAAATATAATAGTTAATATATAGACTGGTGCATAAGTCATGTTACCGATAAAAAGATTGAATATCTCCATTAAAACTTTTTTTTCGAAGGGTAGTGACGTGTTCATACTCTAAATTCATACGAACAAAATGAGTCCATTTGGTTGAGTCATAATGGATAGATTCAATATTTTTTGTCGGAGACGTGACTTACGCACTACCCTTTATTTATGATAAGAATAATATCGCCAGATGTGAATTTTTCTATATAGAATATTTAATATATTTTCTCATCAACTTAATTTTCAGATTTGTCCATATTAATTCATTTCAAATAGAAGTTTCTCGACAAGCAAATAGTTCTTTGTATAAAAAAAAGACATTTGAATGTTTTCTGCGGTTTTTTTAATACAAATTTTATAATATATCATCGATGAAATATATGTTTATGTAAATAGAAAAACAAAAATATATTCTTTTAGTTTAAATTATTAATTCTCCGTGATTCATAATATTCAAACAATATAATCTTGGAACTTTCCTTCTCTGTGGAATTATCCTCATTCGATAATAATAACACCTTTTTTTCGAAATTTAATTTGTCTAAATAAAATAAAAAAGTAAAAGCATATTTTCTGCTGATTTCTATATGATGATAATTGATATTTAAATTTGCTTCATAAACCAGTTTATTTATAGAAAAACAACACTGTGCTGTATAATAAAATACATATAAGAAATTATTTTGTTGAAAAAATTCATTCAATGAATTAAAATTAAAAAAAAGAAAAAGATAACATTAATGAAGAGTATGTGTATTGTTTTTGTATCAAGGACAATAACGTGTCATTTCCGAAACGGTACATACATCATGGCAACAAGCTTCTGTGAGTAGTTTTTGTCTTACGAATCTTGAATAACGTATTCCTGGCAAAGATGGTTTTTCTTTGTATAAAGCTTGACAAACAATACTAATTATAGACATAATTTGAGTTCCACATACATGATAAGCTCGATGAAGTCCACAATCTTCAAATTTATATAATTTGCCTTTAATACCAATAATATCACCTTCATGGAGTAAAGTTCCATTATGTGACATAGTACAAGGTTCGTCTGAAGATGGAGAATTTTCTTTACTCCAAGTATTTCGAATTAATAATACGAATAGAATGAATAGAATTGTTTTGACGCACATTAAATGATTTGATATAGTTTAGACGAGATAAACTAAAAATGAACCAAATAAAATTAGTAAGACTAAACGTATACAAAAGAAAATCTAAGTTTCTAACGATTACGACTAATAAAATTATCATTAAATTACAAAAAAAATAATGAGGTCAAACTTAGAACGGAAAACGTTTGACGTTGACAATTTTTTTAATAATAGCCAACAATGAACAAGGTAACAAATCTAGTCCACATGTAAAGATTTTGTTATACTCTTTCGCTTTCTCCAGGAAAAAGTCCTGTATTTTATTATTACTATATATATAAACTCAAAAGAATTTATGATTATCTAAAGTATTTTAGGAATAATCTCTATTATTACTCATATAAATTTATAATCGAAAATTATGTTATACAATTGTATTGAGAGTCATTTTCAAGGTTTTTAAAAATATAGAATGTCAACTAAAGATAGTATATGCTTATTAAAATGCATCTGCTCTAATCAAATGATATTATTCTGAACAAAACTTGAAATTTATAATAATTACTTACTGATTAAAAAGAGTATTCACAGATATAATGAATAATTTGATTTTGATTTTTTGCCGATTTAATAGATCTGAATGATAGTTATATCTAAAATAAAAAATTACATTAATTACTTTGTAAAAAACAAGAACTAATAGTTTCTACTTGATACTATTTATTTTTTGTAATATGTTAACGATAATTCTTTCTTTTATATACAACTGAGCTCGCACATATCAAAAACCTGACATCCTGTGTGTCAAAACTAAAAATAATGTTTATTATTTTTCAACATATTGTAATCAGGCAAAAAATAAATACTTTCAGCATGACTACTTTTTCCTGATTTTTTTCCACATATTTCTACTAACTGTTAGTTTTACAGAAAAAAAAAACAAGTATTTCTACCGGTCCTTGATGTACGTTAGTTTTGACTCAGTATTTACCTGACACTCCTTCTGTCGTTTTGATTTCTGTAAGTGTTCACTTTACAAATCCAATAGAATGTACTGTTTTGAATTTTACATTGTATTATTATTATTATAAATTACAAGTAAAATGAATAAATGCTTAATAGTCGTAAAAGTCATTCATGCAAGTAAATGACTATCGACGTTGTTAATTGAAGAAAATGTTAAGTCTAAAAAGTATTGTGAATATTTAACTAAGAATAAAAATGATTCAAATTATTGAGTTTTTATCTAGATAAAGTCTTTTAACGATAGAATAAAGTATTATAGATTCAATTTGTTTGTTACATTTTCTGGTTTATAAAAATATTTTTAAAGTTTAATTGACATAGCTTATTATTTGAACTTCCGAAAATTTTTATCTTACATATTTAGAGAGAGAAAATACAACATTTGTAACTAACATGTAATTTATTATAAATTTATAGAAACATACATTTCTAAACCCTTTGAACTATGCAGATATATGAAACTGGTTAATCTATTATTCATCATATATTAAAACGGAAATAATATAAACTATATTATTGACACATAAAAATTTATCATTATTATTCTATTTCAATGAATAATTTGTATCCAATATATTTATCTGCTGAAGTTATATAATTCAATTTATCTTTAGACTTTTTTAAAATACATTTAACGCATAATAGAACAATTATGAAATATATTTTAATATTCTTTTATCTCTTTAATTATCTTAGAAAGAATGCATATTTCATTAATTAAATATTAATATTCTAGAACATTGACATTTGAAATAAAAATTGTAAAATAATTTGATTAAAATCTAGATGAATAAAAATAAAGTTAGGATTATTTGAAATATAATAGGAATGCATTTATATTTTTTCTTGTAGCATGTTTGATGACTTCCATCCTAATTTATAAACAATTGAATATATAAATGCCATGAAATATATTTATTATTATTTGAATTTCTTTAAGACGTCTTTAAATAAAATAACTATTATATAAACAAGTGATGTAAATTGTATATAAGTACAAGCCTGGATAGTCGAGGTCTTGTGTACTTAAAATAACGTATCGAATGTTATCTCTTTTCTTTTAAGTACGTTTTTCTTGCCTTCAATAAGCCTGGATATACATATATATATATACATATGTATTATTCTATAAAAGCTCTCTCTCTTTTCTTTCATCATAGATTCTTAATAATAGCGAAGATATTTATAGAAAAATCTAAATAACAATTAGAATTATAATACACTCTATGACAGTTATATATTCAATTATTTATCTCTAATTTTTACTGTTGTTTTCAATTGGATTTCTTTTTAAATTCCAGGTAAAATATTTCTCATACATAAAAGTACGTTCAGAACCACAGAATATATAAATATATCTTATATTAGAAACATAGTATGATTTTTAAATTAATATAAAGTCAGAATTTCCAGATTTGATTTTTCTAGTGAATTAACAATTTATTTTTTTTGTAGAATATCACGCTCACTTAGAAAGTAAATTTTTTTTTGAAGTAAAGTAGAGAGCAATTATTCATAGAGATATTTCATTAATAGAAAATATGAGTACATTCAAGAAACGACAAGTAACATATACTATTTATAATTACATAGAGAATATCCAGCACATGATATTAAAAATACATAGTCGATTAGCAGAATAAAAACAATAAAGTTTAATATTCAACAGATAATAGAATAATGTTTTCAAGTAAAAATTTTATTAAAAAGGTTATAGCTCTATTTTAAGTAACATACGTCGACTATGTATGTATTTGTATATGTATAAAAAAAAGAATTGGACAATTTCAACATTATTCTCTTTCTCGTAGAGAAGAGTCCATTAACATAAATTGTCTGATTGCTTGCTTGTATATCCGCCGGGTCAAAAAAACATCGAAGACCGATTTTTCGAAAAAAACATTTCTACGAGATAGAGCTAAGAGAGCCCTTAGACGAGCGTTACTTGTAATTTTATGATCATTACAGAACTATTTTATTCATAGTTTTAAAAATGTATAATTATATGAAGATAAATAATATCTCTACTGATATTTAGATATTTTGTTTCCATACGAATTCACACGCCATCTAAAAAGGTACAGAACAAATTCAAGATACAATTAATTTCAGTTGTAAATACAAATCTTATAAAGATGAGTATTATTTTCATAATTAGTTTTTCATTAATGAATAAGTCTTGCCTTATATTTTATCAATTAAAACTAAATATATTTCTATAGTAAATGTATACTAAAAACTTTTATATAATCAGCACAATGTTATGATTATATTCGTAATTTATTTTGAGTTTGTACACAATGAGTAGTAGACGTATTTTTTTAAATATATCATATAAAATCTCTAGAATTTTTTTATAAACAGACACGGTATGTTAAAGATTTGTGTATGAATCAAATGTTGCTAATATTAGAAACTTTCAAGAGTATCTTACCTTCAACTGTGCGGTTAACAGCAGTGCTGACAAGTTTATATTTCAAAATCAAGATTTTCTGATTCGTTATCTTTAAATCAATTGGAATGTTCTTTTGTAACAGTATGCTACTCTGTGTGTTACTCATCAACATGAATAATTCTTACAAATAAGACGTCGCAATATGTTCTACTATTAGTTTTTGTAAGTTGTCGTTTCTTCAAAGAAGTTATACAAGAATAATATTTGTGGTATGATTTTATTATAGATTGACAGAATATATGGTATTATAAGGGACTCAGTATTTAGAAATCATAAGCTTTGTAAGATATTATATTTTTACCTAGAAAACAAAACATCGGAATACAAAAATCTCTTCTAGAAATAGTTTTTTTTATAAGAAAAGTTCGGTAACGAGAAAAAGATTAAGTGATATAATTGTGTAAAAATAACCTTTATAGAAATGATTATACTTTTTAAATTCTAATAGAATAAATTAATAAAATGATTTAATTTATTAGAAAGATAATCATTCAGTATCTTCACTATAATTGAAATAAATGGAGTAGTTTTCTTGATACATACTTAGATATATTGTCTATTCATATTTCAATTACAAAGTACAAGAAACACAGTTTTTAAGCATGGTTTATATCGTATCCATCGAATACTACAGCTTACAGCAAGTTATAAAAATATTTTGAATATAAATTTGAATTTATATAATTCTATTATAAAATATTTAGTAATCTTAAAATTCAAAGTTAAAAAACGTCTAACAATGAGAAAAGTCTCATGCTGACGTATAGAACCTATTATCTCTCAAAAGAATAGATCTAATAATAGAATTGAGTTTTTTATTTCTATTGCTTTTAAGAAACGGTATGTCGAATTCTCTACTTTTTTAAGAATTTCATATGTATTCGGTTTTCTATTTTCCTCACCATATTTATAGTAGAATTCATTTTAAGATCAATATCTATCTATTTTTTCTTAGAGACAATATACTGTTGTTCACAATCCATCATCATTGCAACTACTTACTAAAATTGAAGATAAAATCAAAAGTAATCTATAAATCAAATTTTATATGCACTTTAAATCTAAATATCAATGCGTCTGCAGTAAAAAATAGGTTCAAGGTGTACCATCAAAAGCATACAAGGTATCCTTTTAGTATTTAGTGTATATTAGAATTAAAACTAATACTAGATAGATTTTTCTTGTACTACTTAAAATATTTTAACAAACTAATTTTTCTTTGTATTGTATTCTATTTCATATTTTATCTCGAAATAATGATATATGAACGGCAATAATAAATATTTGATGAAAGTGAGAACATTTTTTAGTGACGCATTAGCGATAAGAACAATGAACAGGAAAGTTAGTAATAGGCGTCACATTCTTGCTCATTTAAATCAATGAAATTATATATGCAGGAAATAGGATAGTTAAGAAATAATGTCAGAGATGGCGCGTCAACAAAAGAACACTTTCAAGACTTGATTTGTCTGTGGCTAATCAGCTGTTATATCTTTTCACCTTCACTTTCCCAAAAAACTGCTAACGATGACGTCTACAGTGCATTAGAAATAGAAATATTTCTAACTTCCTTTTCTTTTTGGAATAAAACAGACGATACATTAATGACACTGTATTTAGTATCAGCTATTATTTAATAGAAATAATTTCTTGTTGGAAAGAAGAAGGAGCAATTATGAAATATTACAAACGTTTATTTTAAAGAAATTTTTTTTATATAACGTTGTTAAATAAGTAAATACTGTTTTTTTGACTCTTTTTTTTTAAATACATTCCTTTTATAGGAGTATTAAAGAGGAAGAGAATTAAAAATAAAGTATGTCTTTGTTGGATTTTTCAATGAACTCTTTATAAAATGAATATAGAACTAAGGTATACATAAATGTACCTTAAATGCGTATGAAAATAGAATCATATATGGTTGATAGCATGTAGACAATAGATAAAAATAGACTAATCGCTGTAAATTTCTTATGAGAAAAAGAAAGAAATCATCTATATTTAATTGTGATGAATCCAATTTCTTAATGATAAATGACAAAACGCTTCTCTCTGGTAAAAAAAAAGTAGCGAGAAAAGTAGGCGGATATATTTATATATATATATATAGTCATACAGCGATAACCTTCTATTTACTCCTACGTCGAAATCTAAATATCTATATCATAACATCTCTTCTTAAAGATAACAATATAATTTTCAAGCGGCGAAAACTTTAACTAATACGTAAGTGAATCTGAGCTGGTTATTCATATGCTCATGGAATTATATCATTTCTTGTATTGAACATATCTAAGTAATGTTCCATTCTATCGCTAATAAATATCTTTGAATATGAGAAGAAACAGCAGTAGTATAAGATATACTATTATATGGTATAATTTTACATTTTCATTCGCCTGAAGTTTATTATTCAATATAGTATATCTATAAACAGTATTTTCGATGGATAACATTATCCTTTTCTTTTCTTCTGATTCATTCAGTGCACTCGGAAGCGTCTACTAATTGATGACTCCTGAAATTATTCGTCATCAAATATCAATTATTTGAACTTGATGACGCAAACTCTTTTTTCATATAAATACTTAAGAAAAAATACAACAGGGCGTATAGTTTACTTGATGATCAATCATTTAATTTTTTATGATGTATAGCGATGATACATTGGGTGCTTGAGATCTTGTACTGCGATCCTAAATCAAATACATCATATGTATTTTTATCTCTCTAACTTTGTTCATTATTCTACTATGAGAGTTTTACACAAACTAAACAAAAATCTTCCGAATCATTGTCATTATTCATCAGAAGAACATATCAAGCTCAATAGTTGTTAGATATATCACCTATTTCTCTATATTACAACTTTTCTTGTCATTCTTCAGTAGTTATAGTTCTTTCATGAATGTTCTTCTTCATAACAAAGAAATTTCTTATTAATCATTTAGAATTTTTATTTATAGAATAATGGTCATGATGACGACGACGAAAATTTTGATTTTAGCATTATTAATATCATCCTTCATATTAACAGATGCACTCATGTGTCAATGCAAATGCTGTCGATATTTGGGACCACTCTTTCCAAACAATCGAAGTCGATGTGCATGTGATGCCACAAATCAAGGAGAACCTTTTGAATGTGGTGGCTCAACTGGAATCCATTCAGCTCGTGTTTGTACTACCAAGATTCGTCCACATTATGCTCCAAATGCACCGAATCTTTGTTGTCAACTTACATTTCTTTGAATGATTTTCTTTTGTTAATTACTATTTACTATCATCATCATCTATATTGTATTAATTAAATAAATCCTGCATTTAAAATGCTTTTGTTGAGTAATATATATATACATATGCATATGCATACGATGATTATTTCTCAATTCATCTAAATAGCACTTTGTTTTTTGTAGGCATTGTTGTTTACAATTAGTGATATAATGAACTATAAAAGCTGATTAGTGATTCAAAATATTTTCATGGTGATGTGCAAAAAAATATAAGTTAGAACAGTATGTTGAGGAGATGATAGTGCATTTGATTATGTGAGATAGATGTCATTATATTGTGAAATAGGAGTAGGCAAAAAAATGTTGTGTTCGTTCTGTGGAGTGATAAAAGAAAAAAAATTTAACATGCCACGGGCAGGAATCGAACCTGCGTTATCCGGACCACAACCGGATGTACTACCATTATACTACCGCGGCGAAAGTAGAATCATTCAAATGGAACCTGATCAAAAATAATTTTATTTCGTTCTTAAATGATTAGTAGCATAGTGTATCTTTCTAATTTTTTCTGAAGAGAAAAGTTCCATCGCAGATTGATGTGGTTTAATTGTCAGTATCACGCGGATGATAAATACGAGTATTAAGTATTCGAGTTGGAGACAAGCTGATCAGTGCAAAAGATATTTGAATCTTGAAAATCAATTAAAAGAATTTATAAATATAAATAACTCCATAAAACCATGTTAAAGACTTAGTTGGAACACAATTCAAACGACAAGTTTAGTAAGAAATGATTAATTATAAAAAGCGTGAATATCAGCTGCTCAAACTCGTGAAAACTTTCGTGACACATCGATATGAGCTCATTAAAGGAAAGATATAAATTTTCATTTGTAATATTATCTACCATTCAGTTTGTCATCGATGTAAATTTGATACAAAAATAAGCTGCTTATTATATGCACTGAAAAGTACTGTTAAATTAGTTTTGTTTTTATTCAAGTCTGAAATGTAAAAAGCTTGCGTTTTGTGTATTTCATACTCTGTTTGTAATGAAAACACGTACTTCAGATATCTGTCAGGAAAAAGCATGCTGAGCCTACGATATCATTGTATGATTTACTATTGTATGTTTTTTGATTTATCAGGACAAAATTTCTATTGCATATGTGACTGGTGGAATTTGCAATGATTCACAATAATAATTGTATTTTATCTCTCATCAGGACAACAACAGAAATGAAGACATTCTTTAATGAAGATAATGGATGGAACAAACGATTCTTAAGTATTAAAGCAGAAAAAGATATACAAGAAGATCTTGTTTTATATTTATCACTGTTCCTAATAATCTGCTATCATCGTTTCTAAAATGTGTTAACATTATGTTTTCATCATTTATTTACGATTTAGGCTGAATCAAGACAATGAGTTACAGCTGATTGACGATCAAATGAATAATAACCTAGAAGAATTGTTTACGCATGTAAATAAAGGATACAATAACCAAAGTGATATAGAAATCATACAAAAAGACAGACAACAGTGACATTCAATATTCGCCGTAATTCTATCACTTCAAGATTATGAGACACACTAGATTTTTAAACTATTATGATGTCAATAGTACATTACTAGTAAATAGATATCCTTAATAAACGTATGCACTTCAGAATGTGATAGTATATCACACGATCTTTGAGATACTGCAATATCGTATGTTATTTTATAGATTTTTGGAACACTGCTCCTGATTATTTTCATATCTTCAGTTAATCAACTTAATGATAAGTTTTCTATAGAACACTTCAGAAATAAGACGAGTATGGGTATCTGCCAGATACTCGCATAATAAGCCAATATTTAGCAGAGTTTTCGATCAAATATCTATTATATATACTGATAATACAGAGCATCCTCAGATAGAGGAATACTTTGAACTATGCACGCTCAGTAGAAACGTTATTCGAGATGTAAAAGGATTTTCAGATCTTTTTCTTTAGAAAACTAAAGTTATTATAAACTAAAGTTTATACAAATGTTTCGAATTATAAGATTTTTTAAAACTCGCACACTCTAAGATATAAATCGTTTTAGTATCAGTATATTATTTTCAAATTGGAGACAGTTCTGCTACCGAAAAGGTTCCAAGAATTATATTGAATTCTACAGATACTTTTCGATAGTATCTATTTTTGCATGTGTCTCACTTTCCAAGATTATCTTTTCGCTAGAATGCACCGCATTGAGGAAATATAATTTCTTTTCAAAACTTAGGATAATACATGAACCAATTTATAAATGAATGATTCTAGATATCTTAACTGTGAATATAATCACGACTTAATTAGAAGAAAAATTATGTTCAAAAACTGAAATTAATGCAATATTAGATTTTCTTATGCTGTCTATAATATTTTAATAAACAAATTTTTCTTTATATAACATTCTGCTCGATACCTTGTCACAGAATTATGTTCGTACAAACGGCAGCGACAAATGTTTAATCGAAATGAGAAAAATTATTAGTGATACATTTGCAATAAAAATACTGAACAAAGTAAGTAGTAACTCCCTTTGCGTTCTATCTCACGTGAATCGATGACGTTACATATCTCGGAAATGGGAGCAGTTAAAAAAATACTTTGTAAGGTGATATGCATATGAGAGTGCATTCAAGACTTGATATATCTATTTCATACTTTATATTACATATTATGTGCGTCACTTTCTCTAACACATGATATTGATGACGTCTATATTATGTCTAAAATAAAAATATATTTAACTTGTTTTTTATAATAAAACAACAATAAGTTAATGATATTATCATTAGTCTTAGTTATTATCTAACAAACAAATATTCCTATTGAGAAGAAGAAAGATCAATTATGAACGTTATTAACTAAGTGAATACTATATTTTTAACTCTTTTCTTTTTGAAAACATTCTTTTCATAGCATTATTAAAGAGGAAGGAAACTAAAAATAAATATGTCCTTGTTGAAATTTACAAAAGACTCATTATAAAATGAATATATAGATAAAGCATAGAGAGATATCCTTTAATTGTTCATCAAAAGAGCACAATATAATGTTGATTCTATAAAAAAGATAGATATAAATAGAGTAACCACTACAAGTTGATTATCAGAAAAGGAAGGAAATCATTTATATTTAATTCTCTTGAATCAAATATAAATGATATTATACCTGTAATTCTTTATTTTTGTCAGTAATAAGACAAAAAGAAGCGTAGGTGAAAGTATATTATCTGTCTGTCTATCTCCCCCTCTTTCTGTATATATATACACTCAAACAACTTAAGTATTTTATTTTGATTTGAACAAAAATTAAAACATCAACGTCATAACAGTTCTCATTTAAAAAAAACAATACAATTGTCAAACTATAGAAGCATCAATATATAGGTAAATAAATTCCAATCGTTCGCGTTAGCATTCCTCTCGAGTTAAATTTCTACTTTATGTAAATATTTCTACAAAATATTACATTTCATTACTTGATAAACATGTTTATAAAAGAAAACATGAACATCTACAAAATACTATAACAGACTAAGATAATCAATAAAAAAGTTTTGTTTATATTGACAAATTGCTATATTTTTCTGAAAAATAAAGAAGTTCATAAAATTATGTGGAATAATCATACATGACTCGTTACAGTTCTTCGTACATAGGCACTAATACTTATCCTTCTTATTGAGTTAGATAAACAAAGATGTAAAAGGATGTTATATCAAACAGTATAATATTCAAACTATGTCATGTTTAGATGAAGTTTATTCTTGTAAGCGAGATATAATCTGAAATACACTTAGTTTATAAACATTAATAAACTTCTTTGATTCATAACCTTAAACTTTTCTGCAATATTCTATGAAGTAACACCAAGTGGTGTCAAGATAATTGTAGTAATTATGAGTAAGTTAAAATTTTGAATTAAAATTTCAAATCGCATTAGGTAACATTAATACTTTTATCTTGATCTTTTCATAGATTTTTTTACCTTGTATTTTGATCACTTAGATACTTACATATTTTTCTATATTACAAGTTTTATTATCATTCTTCAGTAGTTATAGTTGTTCCATGAATGTTCTTCTACATAATAAAGAAATTTGTCATCAACCATTTAGAATTTTTATTTATAGAATAATGGTTATGATGACGACGACGAAAATTTTGATTTTAGCATTATTAATATCATCCTTCATATTAACAGATGCACTCATGTGTCAATGCAAATGCTGTCGATATTTGGGACCACTCTTTCCAAACAATCGAAGTCGATGTGCATGTGGTGCCACAAATCAAGGAGAACCTTTTGAATGTGGTGGTTCAGCTGGAATCTATTCAGCTCGCGTTTGTACCACTAAGATTCGTCTACATTATGCTCCAAATGCACCAAATATTTGTTGTAAACTTACACTTCTCTGAATGATTTTCTTTTGTTAACTATCATTTATCATGATCATCATCTATATTGTATTAATTAAATAAATCCTGCATTTAAAATGCTTTTATTCAGTAACATAATGAGCTATAAAAGATGATAGTCATTTAAAATATTTCATGATGACGCACAAAAAAAATATAAGTTAGAACAATATGTTGAGAAGATGATAGTGCATTTGATTATGTGAGATAGATGTCATTATATTGTGAGATAGGAATAGGAAAAAATATTGTCCTTGTTCTCTGCAGTGATGGAAGAAAAAAAATTTAACATGCCACGGGCAGGAATCGAACCTGCGTTATCCGGACCACAACCGGATGTACTACCATTATACTACCGCGGCGAAAGTAGAATCATTTAAATATGAAGTTATTCTTCAGTTATTTCATCGCAAATATAAAATAAAGCGAGAAACGATATATTATTAATCAGTTTTGTGGTATTTTATATTTATTCGAATGAATATAAATATGAACAGTTAAATATTGAAATATTATTATTTATTTTTTATTTTTAAAATATAAAAAAAAAGTACTATAAAGAAAGACAATAAAATATGATTGTTCGATCGTGGAAAATATCTTGATAAATATCAATCCATTTTAATATTAATATAAATATATCGAATAAATCGAAGTGAAGAAAAAAAACCAACAGTACCAAGCATTAAAAAAAATACATAGCAACCCATTAATGTATAAGCAAAAAATTGTAATGTTTGTAATGTTCCACTCATTTTTGATCGATACAAATAAAAATATATAGCATATACAAATACAAATAAACCAGTTGACCTAAAGAAAAGTATGATAAAAAAAAACATTTTTAAATAATTGATGATTTACCCTGAACTAATAATTGAATGCCACCACCATCGATAATCTTCAGATGCTAATTGAAAATATGTTAATGCTATTGATATACATGCTGTTACTGAAAGAAGTATGAAAAAAACAATTGTTAATATTCCATATAACATATATTGTTCACGACCCCAAAATGTTGAAAATATATAATAGAGTTCAACACTTATAGCTGAAAATGGTAGAAAACCACCGATTAATACTCGAATTATACTCGATCGATACCATGGTACATTAGGAATTTCACGTGCTATATTTTTTGTTCGACATGGAGCATCAAAATTTGTTGAATAATTTTTTCCAAATATTCCACCTAATATTGTCAATGGAAATCCAACTAAAATAAAAGTAAAAGAAAATAAATACGTATTTTTTTTCTTTTTTTCAATAGAAATTTTTTTCTTTACCAAAAAGCCACATAACTATAAGAATAAGTACGGTTGTAAATGGTAATGCTTGAGTTGTTCCATATGCCCATGCAAATGAATTTAATATACACCAAACAATAAAAAATGGAATAGTAAAAAGATTTGCTGTTAAAATTATATTCCATGTCCAATATTCACCTTGCAATTGACGATACACTCGTCCACTCATAAAACCAGCAACACATGATGTAAATGCATATAATATAACACTCGATGCAATTAATGAACCATGACGATGAACTGTAAACATACCACAAAATGCGAATAAAACAATTCCACTAAATATTGATAGAAATTGGCAACCAACACCAATTATTGAACTAAATAATTCTCGATGCTGTGGAAAACGGAAAACATCCGTATGAATTATTTTCCAACCATTTTCTTCTTCAACTGAACCATCATCATCATCGTCAGCACCACCACCTCGAGTTAAATCATTTTTCAATATACGAGACTAAAGAAATACATGTAGGATTGTTAACCAATTTAATTACCGAAAATAGATTTGAATTCTTATAAGTTGCATCAAATTTGTGCAGAAAATAAAGATTTTTCGAGATACTTACAAGTATAAGAATAACAAAAACAATTAAAAAAAAGACGAGAACCATCGAATTAATTATCGATAACCAATGTACCTAAATAATTAATATATGATATATACACAAACAATAACTTCAAAACATACTTCTAATGTTTTAGGAAAAAATCCTGTATTGGTTATATATTTAGCTCGATCTTTGTATGATGTTCTTCAATTTAGAAGAAAAAGAAAGAAAGAATTAATATTTAATTTCAATAATAAAAAAAACTTTATACTCAGTCTGATGCCATTTAGTCGAATAAGTATATTCTATTTGCATAGATGATAATGATTGATCATCTAAAGCGATAGCTGGATAATCTTTTGTACTTATATTAACATAAACTATCTAAATTCATAATAATAATTTTGTAAATTTTTCTTCGATGTATTTTTACTTGATTATTATTAATATAAAAATCAAAATGATGATGTTTATAAATATATATCTGATGTTTATGTGGAAATATATTTGTTTCTTCAATTAGTCCAACAAAACCACGTATTGGAATATCATCAATAACAAATTCAAAATAATAATCTTCTTCAATTGCTAATTTCAATGTATTTAATTCATTAGTTTCTAATGTTAATGAACATAATTGTTTTTTCTGAATCTCTTCTATAATAAAAAAAAACAAAGTAAATGATATTCATATTTTTTTTTATAAAAAAAAATAATTTTCTAACCAGTAAATTTGATTTCATATAGAGATTGCGCCATTCGATCACCTGAAAGTACTTCACCAAGTGTTAGATCTTTTGAGACTATCTATTTCATAGAAATGAATTTTTTTTAAATAGTTTCTTTTTATAATTTTTAGTTACTTTTGATGGACGACAAACTGGAAGAGAATAATAATGGTATGTTTCCTGAGGATTTGCATAAGGACCGACTTTATTGACATAAACTGTCACCTAAAATAAAGCAAATTCATTTTTAAATTATTTTAAACGAAAAAAGACTTTACATTATCGTTTTCAGTGTATTTTTTTCCAGCTCCTTTAACAATCAATAACAGACATAATAATAAGAAGAAATGAGTAAGCGCCGATGACATCTAAAATATTTATAAATCAAAATTTCTACTTCAAGAAACAAATAAAAGACAACTCACTTTTTCTAATGAACGACCTCTATTTCAATATTTTTACATGATATATTAGAAAAAAACCTTTCTCTCAATGACAAATATACATAATATATCAGGTCAGAACATCGATACTTTTCGTCAGCAATGATTGGTAATAATAACAACCAGCGAGATAATTTTATGAATATATTTTCTTAATATCTAGTTTTAAAAACAGGTACTTATGTATTTTATTAGTTGAATAACATTATGAGAAAATTCAAAATCAGAATTACGTTTTTGAACAATCATCATAAATTTTTATAGGTGGCGCCGGTTGAATACTACATTAGAACATAAGCTAAATATAAATCATCATGCTATGGTTTTGAATTTGAAATTTGGCACGTTATTTATAACAATTTTCAGACAGAAAATTGAGTACTTTTAATTATTACAAGCAGAGCATATCTTTTCTATCTCTAGCCGCATTTATACCCAACATCCTAATAGAAATTTATTGAAATGCTCACTGATGTTATAAATATACATGTTCTGTCTCATCTGACGATTAATATTTTTATTTATCAAAGATTTACTGATCTTAGAAACCGTTGATAGATTCAACTTTGATCCCACCACGATCATATTTATCAGTTATTATCATGAAGTAAGACAGTGTAAAGTTATTATAACTTGACTAATGTTGATAGAAATTATCAATGATTATAGAGACTTCATATCTGATAAAGAACAGGTACCAATAGCTTCTTCACTAAAAACCAGGAATAGTTGGAAAAGAATGTGTTTTATTTTAATCTGGATCTGTACTTTCATTCCTATCGAAATAATTATGATGATATAGAGATATTGTTTTAATCTACTTTCACTATTTAATACCTTATTCAATACTTTATGCATTTGATGGTTAAATTTTATTATATCTAATAAAAGTGAAGTTACATATATATTATTTCACAAAAAAATGATATAATACTTCGAAATAGTTTCATGACAGTTTTAGATGTCGGGAATGAGAACTGAGCAACGTGTGTATCTATAGCAGTATCTCATGAAAACAAAATCATAGCAAGAATGTCCATCTATCACTTATTATAGCATATTTTACATTGTATTTCTATACTAAAATATGAATATTATTAATTTTTTGAAAATTAATCAATAATTTTCATATGCGTGTTCAACATAGGAAAAAAAAGAATACGATGTCATATGTATAAGTTTAGTATTGTCTTGAATGACTGATGATTATATTGGTTAGAAAGAGAGCAACGACAACGACTATTTAGATAAATGAGTTCATGTACGTTTGCATGTCTCGAATAACTAAAAGAAAAACTCATTACAATCTCCGTTCGGGCAAAGAAGACAAATGATCTTTTGCCGCTATAAACATACGTTGTTACAATCGATCGCTGTTCGTTCGTCAATAACAAGAAAAAAAAACAAGAAAGATTATTAATGATTCGTTTTCTATCGGTGATCAAACGATATAGTTGGACGAAAAAGAGGAGAAGGAATGCATGTATGTATATTAAATGTCACACCGTATGTTTTATTCACAAATACAATTTCTATCTAACAAAAACAACAAGGAAATCAATTTGTCATTTATCATATAGTTTCAATATGAGATTCAATATTTTGGCTCGTTTATATTAAATCTATAAATATTAATTTGATGATTCAGATGAAAACGATTCTTCTTTTATATAATCATTCATAATCATTGGATCAATATCACGTTCTTGTTCTTCTTTTTTTATATGATTAGGTGATGACGTTGTTGCAGCTGGTAATGTATCGGGCAGTTTCGATTTTGTATTCGGTAATTTATGATCTTTTTTCCATTTCATTCTTCTATTAATATTAATAGAAACAAAAAAAATGTTATACTTCATACAAAATTTGCAACTTACCTATTTTGAAACCATATTTTAATTTGTCTAAAGAAGAAGAAAATTAAAACGCTATGAAGATAAAATTTCAATATAATTTACCGTTCAGTTAAAATAAGTGAATGAGCAATTTCAATACGTCGTCGACGAGTTAAATATTTGGAAAAATGAAATTCCTTTTCTAATTCTATTGAAATAAAATCACATATTAAATTGATTCGGTACAAAAAAAGAATAAAATTTTACCTAATACTTGATGTCGAGTATAAGCTGTACGAGCTCGTTTTGTTTCTCCACTTGTATAATTAAAAACTACAATATGAAATATAGATTAATATTCTGCAAGTTTTAATTTTGTTTACTGATTTTAATGTCGATAATCGTCTTTCTTTTCTTTCTATCTGTATTTGAGTTCAACTGTCTGGTAAAGCAGATGGTCAAAAAACAAAAAAGAGCTATATATTTCTTTTTTTTAGTTATATATGTTACAGAACATTGCATGTAGAGAATGACAGTAAAGAATAATAACTGTCGACATTGAAATAACATTTATCTTTTATAGTTAGGTCACGTAGTCATCGAATGATAAGACTATCGTGTTCATTTATAGTCAAAGTTATGATAAATGAAGTTTCATGTTCGTATAATATATATATACTGACTTTTTTTTTGTCTTTCTTCAAAAGGCAAAGGTTAGATTTTTATTCCGAAGGGAATGTGATACTCTTTTCTCTCTCTTTTTTTCCTACAAATCAAGATGAGAGAAGAAAATTTTGACATTTTCATTGTTGATATTTGTAAAACTTGTTAAAAATATATATTGAAAGAGAAAAAGGTGAACTAGACCATTTGAACAATCGTTTTTATTCAATCATTCAAGTGATAAATAAACAAAGCTAGATCAGAGAAAAATTTATGCTAACCTGGATTATTAATATGCACTTTACGCATCCATGGATAAATCACAGGAGAATTTTGGTCTTGTTTATTTAATGATGATGGAATTGTATCAGTTGATATTGTTAAATCATTTTGTGTTTGTGCTGAAGGTAAAATTGGAGATGATGATGGACATCCATTTGGTGGAGGTGTTACTGATAGACTATATAAATCAAGAGACATGGGATGAATAGAAGATATCATATCGGTTTGTGAATGTCCATTCGAAGGAATTGATACTGGATTTTCTTCGGAATAATTTCCAAGTATACCATTTTGACAAGTGTATATACATGAACTACTAAAATTAGAGAATTTTATTCTAGTTTCTTTTTGTCCCATGTACAAATATATCTACCTTGGTTGATTTGATGATGTAGATGAAAGTACATTATAACGATAAAAATGATTAGTATTATCTTGATATAGATGATTATTATAAATTGGAATATGTCGAGATGATGTTTGATTAAATGAATCTTGTCCATAATAATCAAGAATAGGAGATTGTAGAAGACATGATGAATTATTTACATTAACATTATTATCAGACAACTGTTGTCTATTCGAATAATTTGTATTTGTACCATCATAATTATAATGATTGTTCATTGAATGTAAAGAACTCATCGTTTTTTTTCTCTTGTTCTTCTTGATCGAACGATCATATAAAAAGATAATCGTTTTTCTCTCTCTCTTCCTCGTTCGTTCGTTCGCCTATTCTTTTTCTCTTTTATTAATAATGATACTCAACTGTATAAAGAATTTTCGAATAAAATATTATTAATGATTAGAAAAATATTCTTTAAGATCGAACGATAAACTGATGAAAGAAATATATAAGCAAAATCTTGTGACAGAAAATGATCCATTAAATCACTTAATGGATACCATAAAAAAAATGCGAGAACGATTTTTCTTCTGCATTGAATACAACGGCTGCAGCCAATCAATATGTTTCTCTCTTACTTTTTTTTCCTCATTGGTGTAAAGGAAAAGAAGAAAAAAGAAAAGAGAGAGAGACAGAGAGAGAAACAAGATTGATCATATACACACCGAACAAAAGGAAAAGAAATAAAAACGGATATGCTGAAGACAATAAAATTCTACAAAAAAAAAGATGAGTTGTACTAAATTACATTGTAATATCTCAAAATTCTGATCTTGAGTTAATCATTATCAGACAAGAGAATTATTCATCGCACCTATTTTGTAGTTGTAAGACAAGGATGTATGTATACAATATAGTTTCATTATAAATATTACATTCGATTGATTCACTCAAATATGTTTATGTTAGTTATTGAAATTTTAATGTATAAGAACGATTAATCATCGTGATTTGTACAATACAAATTTATTTCCTCTCTTTTGAAAATCATATGCAAAAGATCATAGAACATATCGAACAAGTGAAGAAAAGAATCATTAATCTTTCTGTCTAAAATATCTTTTTCTTTTTAATTTTCGTCGGTTGATCTCTTTGAAAATATATAAATTGATGTTATTTTTTTTTGTTGTGTTCGATTGAAAATAACAACGATTAATAAGATAAGACATGTTCGATAAATAGTTGTGTTATTATATTTAAGTGAATAAATGACATAATCTTTGTCTTAGAGGAGTCATATACATAAACGAAAAATAGATTTCGATTGAGGTTAATGATCCGATTGATATTTGTTCGTTTTATGAAAAGAAAAGTACATTGAATTACTTGTATTGTTAATGAATATTTAAATAGATTGAACAACAGCGGTGCAAGTCTGTCACCCCACTATCATCAATTAAATATAACTTTTCTACTACTATTCTTTTCTTTTTTTCTTGTATACATATATATATATACACCATCATATAATCGAACAAATAAGGAACATTATTCATACATAATTCAGTTTTATATTTTAGAATTCACTTGACTATCTTTTTGCTTATATTTATGCAATATGAGATTTATTTCTTTCAGTATAAAACGCTCATTTCATATGCTAATCATGAAATACTTTGATACATGCAACATCAAAAATATATACTACCACTTTTATTCGCGCATAGCTTGTTAAAATTCATCTGTATACATTTTTTCAATGACATTCTAATGGGACAAAACTTAGCTAATTATATAGGATTCAAGTCGAGCTTTTGTCGTGGTATTATTTAGTTTTCACAATATCAGATAATTATAAAATAAGACTTGAATACTCTCACTAGAAGAATCTCTATCCTTATCAATAAAGTTGTAGAGATAAAGTAGAATCATCTCGCAGACTAATCTAAGTACGTATAATATCTATATTCGAAACATGACCTGTCCTGAATGCAGATTTTTGATTAAACCAATTTATTTCAATAGTCATAATGACAAAAAAAAATATAATTTTTATGAACATGTTGGATTATCACATGGCCATGAACGACGTAGTGTTTGTGAATTATATCGAGTACATGTTTTATCATCAGTTCCAGCATGTCCATGACCTTGATGACAAGGACCATAAGCATCAATAGTTGATGTAAATATTGTTTGATCAATAGGACCTTCGACATAATCATGAAAATCAAGATAACCAGTATCAAGATCTTCTCGGAAACGTAGTGGAACATGCGAATCAGCTCGAGTATACATATTACGAAGATTATGTACTGATCCCTCACCAGTATAATTTGAAAACTATAAATGTAATAAGAAATTTATATGATTTACTCAAAAATATATCTCATATACCCATTCAACCATCCAAAAATCTGCCATTTGTCCATCGATTGATAATGTACCATTATATGTTGCATTACTTTGACATAACCAATTTGGTTGCCAAGCAGGAAATGTATAATTACAACAGGTTTGAGCTGATGGATAGACATAATAATTTTGTCCTTCATAAAAAAGTACACTACATGGAATATAATTAGCATCTACACCAGCTTCATATAATTGTAAAAAAGGACATGTTGGATAGAAATCTGTTCGAATGGCTTGATGAGATGCATCATACCAAAAATAACCCCAACCAGTATCACCATTTGACATATTATAATATGTTGTTGCTGCTGACCAAGATGATGCCATAATAGGTGGAAGTTTTGCTGGTGGAATATTTATTTTAGTATTATATTGTTTGGATGAAGAAGGAACACACATTGTTGTATTAAATTGTTCTTGTGTATCAGTTCTAGGCATGACTGCTGAAACACATTGAAGACCATCACAACATTGAAAATCTGTTGGAGATAATAATGAACTATTACAATTTAAGCGATTTTCATCCATACAACGTATTTGCGATGATGGACATAGTTCAGTTGCTTCATTTTGTTTAATAAGGATACAAAGAATTGTGATGCATACTAGAGTTGATTTCATTTTTATGATGAATGATGAATTTTTTTAAATAAAAGAATCTTCATTTGTCATTATATGATAAGAATGATAAAGTAGAACAGAATTTTAACATCATCATCGTTCTTATCTTCATTTATTTATGTCAACACATCACATAATGAAGTGTCATATACGATGATAATATTTTTCTGAAATGTTAATACACATATAAAATGCTTTTTTTACTCTAGTTACATTCGCTATTGACTCTGCAATCATGGCAGATATATTAATTAATATTCAATCGAAATTTTTTTGAAGTTTTTACTGTAAATAGAGACAATTTAGATCTACTATCGGTGGAAATATTATCGATTTTCCTTTTAAATAAAGTGAAGTTATTCGAAAAATATTGACCGTTACGGAATTTTACCCTTTTTTCAGAAATGGTAGCGTCGATTGTCATAAAACCGTTTCATCTTTGTATATTGATGAGATTCCGTAACGTATTATTTCTGGAACAGATATGAGATTAATAAATAAACCCCTGCGCAAGCTGAGTCTATTTGATAGAGCTTCTCGAGTTCTATCTAGAAATAGCAATTGTGCTGCTAGAATTAGCAATATGCGCGAGAACAACATACTATTAACAAGTTTCATAAAAAATGAAGATGGTTTGTAATATTATTAGTTTGTTACGTAGATACCTAACATCTGTGCAACAGATATGTGTTGAAAGAGAACGTTATATTCCATCGATTGACATCTAATAATCGAATCTTTTTTCTACTTATTACGATTCTATTCTGATGTTTTCCACTGCTATCAATTTACTCTTATTTTCGAGTTGATTGCTTCTAGACAGAGTAGGCGTGTGTATGTACAATCAAGGCTGCTAAAAAATCTCAAAGTGTAAGTTGAATAGTTTCATACTTTGTAAAATAAATTAAAATGTCAAAGAAAAAATAGATCTGTATACAGTTTTGTCTTCATATTTAAACGATACTTCTCTATAGATATTCTGCACGAATCAGTTTCATTTCTTTCGAATGGCTTAAATTGATAAACTTAAGACTAACAATGAGATAATTACTATTCGCAAAAAAATATTAAATATAAATTATCGTATTGTTGAGTCTCTCTCTTTCATTAAAATACATATTCATATAAAAATAAGGTAAGTTGAATGTAAGTATTTTGTTCGCCTCAGCAACATTCTCATTAGTTCGTACGTCTGATATGATTATAGATTATCTCTTAGATTATCTGTTGTTATTATTTACAAATATGTTCGTCAATGTCATTCATGAACTTACTTGAAGGTCCTTTTACAACCAAAATGTTTCAATAAACGTACATTCTAAATCCGATTAATACTATCAAAACGATTAAATATCATAAAAAAAGACATTGTAATACTAAAACAGTATTGGAAAGAATAATTAAAATTATCGTATCATTTGTAAATTTTGTTAATCCTAACAAATTAATCTGCAAGAGTAAAAAAACAAAGATATTTATTTTCATTTAGGATCGAATATTGAAGTATGTGACAATTCAGTAAAAGTATCAAAAGAAACAGTTCACGGATGTCATAAAATGAAAATTCTTCTAACTAAAGTATTGTTTGGAATTTGAACTACTTGTAAGAAAAAGAATAAGATAAGTGAAAGTTAGTTTGTTTGAAATAATTAATATAATTCTGCAGTATTTAAAGTACCACTGCCTGCACCACCAGTAACTAATACTTGTCCATTTGATAATACAGATGCTGTGTGATCATATCGTGCATTAGTCATGTTACTAGTAGTTGTCCAAGTACTTGTTAATGGATCATACAACTCAGCACTATTTAAACAATCATGCTCATTGGGTGTACCGCAAGTAATTAATACTTTTCCATTGCTTAACACAGATGCTGTATGATAATATCGTGCATCATTCAAGTTACTATTAGTCGTCCAAGTACCTATCGATGGATCATACAATTCAGCATTATCTAAAGCATTATTACCATTCCATCCACCAGTAACTAATACTTTTCCATTTGATAACATAGATGCTGTGTGACTCATTCGTACATTAATCATGTTACCAGTAGTTGTCCAAGTACCTGTTGGTGGATCATACAATTCTGTACTATTTAAAATATCACCATGCCTTCCACCAGTAACTAATACTTTTTCACTTGATAATACAGTTGCTGTGTGAACAATGCGTATACTAGTCATGTTACCAGTAGTTGTCCAAGTACCTGTTGATGGATCATACAGCTCCGCACTGTTTAAATAACCAATATTACCAACTCCACCAGTAACTAATACTTTTCCATTTGATAACACAGATGCTGTGTGATATATTCGTGCATTATTCATGCTACCAGTAGTTGTCCAAGTACCTGTTGATGGATCATACAGCTCAGCACTATTTAAATAACGACCACTACCAAATCCACCAGTAACTAACACTTTTCCATTAGACAATACAGATGCTGTGTGACCTCCTCGTACATTATTCATGTTGCCAGTAGTTGTCCAAGTACCTGTTGATGGATCATACAGCTCAGCACTATTTAAATCACCAATATTATTATTATATCCACCAGTAACTAATACTTTTCCATTTGATAATATAGATGCTGTGTGGCCACGTCGTACATTAGTCATATTGCTAGTAGACAACCATCCTAGAAGTTATATTTTTATATATTTAGATAATACAAGATCAGATCGTCAAACAATCAACCTCATTATTCTTCTACACATTATTTTTCATTATTCTTAAAACGACAGTCTTTAATAATTATGTCTGTTTTATATTACCTCAAACTTATATAGATCGAGAATAGTAGTCAAATGTGTTATGCAAATTCTCTTCGCATATCATTATCATATCTTCACTTTTCGATATTCTCTACTTCCACTTTTATCTCAGATCGACAACTGTAATAATAGCACTGATTCATGCGTTTTTCGATTTTCTAAAAATTTTACAAGCTATGCTTGAAAGATATTTAAGAACCCCCGGGGTCAAAAAAAACTTTTTTTCTTCAAAAATAATGATTTTGAGATTCATCTATATTTAGGTAGCCCATCATCTACACTTTCGAACAGACTATAGTTTATCGGTTTTACGATAGTTTTTCAGGGATTTACAGTGAGTTTTCTGAAAAATCTACTCGAAAATTTCTTTTTTTCGAAAACCTCAATTATTGAAGCTGCTTGAATTTTCGCCTATACCAAGTTTTTTAGAAAAAAAGTTTCGATGATCAAAGTGAAAACTTGTTTTGCGTTTTCTCGAAAGTGCTTCTTTATGTTTTGTCTGCCAGTATTTCCAAGATTTCTCCACTATTTTGAATGCTAGAAAGCTTAGGAAAATTTTAAAATGAAGCTAAAGCTCAGCGCTAGAGCATAACAAAGCCAGAATTTTTGTTTTCATCTTATTTCGTTAAGAAAAAATCGAGTTTTCTAAAGAGGTAACCTCAAGTTTTTCCGAAAACCTTTTTCAAGAAACAATTTCTTTTTTTTCAAAAAACCGGCTTTGTTAGGTTGTAGACACAAGTGTTCCGCGCATTTTGACGCTATCCCGAGGTCGGTATCATTAAAACTGCGAACAAAATCTTGGAACTACGAAGACCTACTTTTGATCCTTAATATTAGGATAACTCTTGCAAAACTACATTATGAGCTCAATTTTTTATTGAAGACTATCCAAGGTCGGATGCATCTTCAGTAAAAATTTCACTAAGACTGAGTGTTCTGGAAAAAAAAATTTTTGAACCGGGGGGGCCCTTATTAGAATAAAAAACATGAACTTCCTATCAACTCTTCTATAGTTCTCTGAATATGACAATTAATGTAATAAATTATTCACAACCTTTCTTTTTACTATGATCAATATATAGGTATGCAAAGGACTATATAGCATTCATTGCTGGAACTGATATAAAACATAAACTAATGAGAAAATGAGTGATTAATCTCGATGTTTCTGATAATTCACTATCAAATCATTGTTAGTTCTTTATTAATCTACACAAATTCCATTATTTAGCTATTCTCAACTCTATTCGCAGTGGTGTTTTATAGCTTATCAAATGTTTTACTTAAATTTATTAGCACAACAACAATAATGGTTCATCAGTTCCTTAATCATATCTTCTTGGGTGGATGCGGTTGAGGTTAAAAGAGAGATACTCACACCCTCACTCACACTCTAGTTCAGATTAGTGATATGTTAATTACTTACTAGCGAATGTACTAGATTGACTAGTTGTAGTGCTGGAACGAACTGAAAAGCAAAAGAAAAAAAAGCTATGAGCTAAAGTCAATGGAAACGATAATGCACATCTTACCTGTCGTTGGTTTTGTTGTCGATTTTTTAGTGGTAGCTGTAGTCCTTTGAGTTGTTGTTGTAACTAAATCAAAAGAGATAAGTTAGCCACAAAATAAACACATTTGAAAGAGAAAATATAATGAAATAACGCTTACTCTTTGTTGTAGATTTTCTTGTGCTTGTTGTACGTACTATTAAAATATAGAAATAATTTATTCTTGGTCAACTAATTCCTTTTGTTCTAATCGTTTTCAAATTTGCAAGACAAAATGCCTTACCTGTAGTTGTTGTTCGTGATGTTGTAGCTGTTTTGAGAAAAAAAACAAATAAAACTAAAATATTTACTAAAAATCTTCTCTACTTGTAACAGTCTTTGGTGGACAAATCTGTTTATTTGCCATAGGGAATGGGTAACATATTGGTTGACCACATCGTGTACTATTCACACAGATTGTGCTCTCAATTGAGCAAGTTATATTATTCATGTTACATCGTACAAAATTTGAACAGGAAAAAATAGTTGAAGCACAAATTCCTGTATTCGGATTGGATGTTAATGAAAAACAATCGCAGTCAGGATTCGATGAACATGCAATTCGTTGAGAATTGCATGCAGTGAAATTACATGTTGCTATTGCAGAGTTAACTAAGAAATAAATAATAAGAAAATAAGGAAAAATAATAGTCATTATTATTAATTACTTAGCTGTTGTTGTTGTTGTTGTTCTGATGTGTTTCTATTGTTGAAGAAGATAAAAAAATGAAGTATATAATATGTAGAACTTGATAATTAATACTTGCACTAATAGTAGCACGTAGAATAAAAACATCAAGCTTGAACTCAAAAGTTTTACCATTATGAGATACAATAGTATCAATTATTAAGTAAAGAATATTCTTCTTTTATTACTTTTCGTTATGTTTCTTATATAGGCGTTGTGAAATAATCGAATGAGAGCCGACCAACTCTATAGTTACAAACTAAAATATTTTTTTCTTTTCTTTAAAAAAAAATCATGAAATGCATTTTCTTTCAGTATGTATAGTGTCTGATGCTCTGCACATGATACATTCTTTTCTCTCTTATGTTTTTTTGTTTCCATTCACACTCCTCTCACTTGTCTATTTGCTTCTCGTCCATTTTTTGTTGTTTTAAGTCAGAGAGGATGTGTTGGAATGCATGTATGCATGAGAGAAGGCATTGATAACGGTAGATTTACATTGTTCTGCTCTGTATGTGACGTGTCATCATTCTTTTTATACGAGTTAGTGTTCGGTTATAGCATAAACTAACATCTCACATATAGTCATCTACTGAAATTTGAAGTGTGTTGTGTTGATTCAATATTTTCGTTATATTAAATTCATTTTATTTTATAAAAAGAAACAAAGAAAAGAATTTATACAATATTCATTTCAAATATTCAACATTTTTAATTGATATAATGTTGATGAATAGAAGCAGGAATACCAGTTATTGGTTGATAATAGCTATTACCTATTGGAACAAAATCAACTTCACGTTCAACATTAACTCGTCCTGTATATGGATTTCGATAGAGTTCAACATCTTGTGTATAAATTCCATAACCATAATTACCATAAGCAATAGTTTGATAATCTCTATTCCAACTATTCATTGGACTAATAGCAGCAATTGGTTGAGTAAACATTTTATTGATAATAGTAAAGTATAAAATAAATAATAAATTTATATTTGTATATGAATGTATGAAAATGAGAAAGAAGTGTATGAGTATTTATACTATATGATAATACACCTGTATAATAATGATAATATAAATAAGTACGTCATCATTGTACGTCATCAATGATGTGATATTCATGTTGTACTTGCGTCATTGATAAAAATAAATGCTATTGAGTGTGATTGAGTCGAAGAAGAATATTCGTGAATATACTCAAAGATTGTTTTATTTTAATTCCATTTATTATAATAATTCGTTTTGATAATTCTTATGTTGTTTCAACTGTAAATCGGTTAGAACTTAATTATTAATATATCTTCTAAGTGATTCGACATTCTTAGAAAACAATTTCAACACATTTGGAATGATTTCTAACATTTTGTTTCATGATTAATTTTATTTTGAATTTGTTTAAAACGTTATGTAAGGGTCACACAATGATAACCGACTTTAATCAGTAAAATAGTATCATATAAGTTTAGGAGAATCTTGTTCATAAATTTGTGGAACCAATCGTAACTTGTATAATTTCATTTGAAAATATTCAGTCGTAATTCTATGATTTGTTATTCGTAAAATGAAAATAATTTCATAAAGTTAAAATTAAATGTTTATATCACAAATTTGATCATTTATGAAATATTTAAAGATTGATTCTATTATATTTTTCGGAACCAATTTTAAGATGTTCGATAGTTTTACATTTAACTAGTAATTTCTTTTATTTACGTAAACACTTTTATAGAAAATTGGAAATCATCTTTGAACATACAAACAAATTTTGTTGCATTTTATTGTCTATTTGTTATTTCTCTTTCAAAATAAAAATGAAATAATTTTAGAGGATATTCACGAATATTCTTCTTCGACTCAATCGCACTTAACAACATTTATTTTTATCATTGATGACGTACAACGATGACGTACTTATTCATATTATTATGCAGGTGTATTATCATAGTATAAATACTCATACATTTCTTTCTTATTTTCATACATTCATATACAAATACAAGTTTATTATTTATTTTATACTTTACTATTATAAATAAAATGTTTACTCAACCAATTGCCGCTATTAATTCAATGAATAGTTGGAATAGAGATTATCAAACGATTGCTTATGGTAATTATGGTTATGGAATTTATACACAAGATGTTGAACTTTATCGTAATCCATATACAGGACGAGTTAATGTTGAACGTGAAGTTGATTTTACTCCAATAGGTAATAATTATTATCAACCAATAACTGGTATTCCTGCTTCTATTCATCAACATTATATTAATTAAAGTGGTGGATATTTGAAATGAATATTGTATAAATTTTTCTTTTTTTCTTTGTGTTTTTGTAAAATAAAATGAGAAATATAAACATATCTTTATTTTTTTATTCAAATAGTACATATAAATAAATAGCCAACCGTTTATGACAGTATTCTATATGTTCGATAATCTGTTGGCATTGATCTTGAACTTCATCAATACTACATAAATATTAGACATTTGCCTAGCGAAAATAATCATAGATTTATATTTTACTCAGTACAGTTGTTCTCTATGTACTTGATATAAATATATAATTAATAATAAAAATTAAATATGCTAAATAACGTCAATATTTGTGTTATATAGAGTAAAGAGAAGAATTTTCATGTTTAGAACATAGAAACAGAATAAATATAAATAAGTATTGATAATAATACAACATCAATACAAAACAAGGATTTAAAATTATTGATAAAATTAAATTATACAATAACAATAAACGTATATTATCGATGATTATATGATAAAACCAAGCTCGTCTCTTATACATAGCTAGATTGAATTTGATAACAAGTCGAAAATTAATAAAACAAGTGTTATTAGATTAATGCACGTGTCCTTATAATATTAAATTGTGACCGATTTGTATCAAAAATGATTATTCAACTTTTGTTTCATTAATTATCATAATGAAGAAAAATATTCTCTGTAAAATTGAATTAATAATCGTTTTTGTATTTAAATAAATATTTAATCATATCCCGATAAATGAGTCATTCATATATTTTTTTCTATTTTACTTTATACAAATATTAGAGAAGAAAATAAAAATAATATGATAACATGTATTTTATTTTCTTACAATCATACCAAGAACTTTTTATTACTTATAAAACATGACATACTGTTTACATGTTCGATTAAAGATATACATCAAATAATCTAATTTAAAACTTCTGCGTATATTATCTATATCTTTATTACAAAACAAATAAATTGATCTTTTATATCAAAAATCCTCTTAAAATCTAATGATTATATTTCGTTCACAAGAATATCTAAAATACGTTGTTTTAAATCACGAAAACGTGGTCGCATTGTAACACTATTTGTTAAACAAGGAAGAATAATATGTGTATATATTTCATCTGAACCAAGACGACGTGGTTTTGGAAGATATTGACTAAGTTTTTCTAATGGATTTTTTAAAACAGTTTTTAAAGCATAATTAGTCATATTCCGAAATGGTCGGTCACCTAATGAATAAATTTCCCAAAGAGTTATACCCTATTGTATAAAAAAAAATATAAAATGATATTTATTTTCAATAAAATTCTTCTTACATAACTCCAAACATCTGAACGGGAAGAATATTCCGATGAAAATAACGCTTCAGGTGCTGTCCAACGTGGTGCACATATCGTACGATGTGTACCTTTATATGAACCACATTCAGTTAATCTAAAAGATTTAATTTTAATTTTATATATATTTATAAAAAAATACTTTACTTAGTTAAACCAAAATCAGCAACTTTAAGTGTATCATCGTCGTCAATTAAACAATTTCTTGCTGCTAAATCTCGATGAATAATATGTCGTTCTTCTAAATATAACATTGCTTCATATATTTGTCTTGCAAAATAATTTAATTTTTTTGATATAGAACAAGAATTTGATTTTAAAAATATATCACGATGTCTTTTAAGATAATCTAATAATGAACCATTTCTCATAAAATCTGTTACTAAACTTAATTGTTGACTTTCTTCAGAAAATGTTAAACCAATTATACGTAAAAGATTTGCATGCCTCAAGCGTGTCATGATAGTTGCTTCTTGAAGTATGACGTTCATATTGTCAGCATTACCATAGATAGAACATTTATTAGGATTTTCATCTTGAGTACTTAATGTTTTTAATGCAACATCATGTGTACCTTTGTATAAGGCATGGTGCACAGTACCAAAATTACCTTTACCAATTTCACCAACATACTATAGATAAAATGAAAATGTATATTAATTACCTTCTGTCAATATGAACTTAACAAAGTTCGGAGTTTTGATCTGTAAATGACTTACTTTTAAATCTTTTGAATCAATAAAAGCAAGTTTAGAATTATGTAGAATTTTCTTTCTTTTCAGTTTTGAAGAAGATAATTGATTAAAACTTGTTGTCAATTCTGAATGAACCGTGCTTGCATTTTGAGATGATGATGATTTATTTCTATGTGTTCGTTTCTTTTGATCTGTAAAAACAGGTGTCGTACTAGATAAATTTCCAGTTGATCGACTTTTTCTTATACCAAGTGCTTCTTTTTGAATAATCGGATCATGATGATGTTTTTTTGTTGCTAAATTATTATCTGATTTTTCTTCTTCGAAAGGTATTTCAACGGTTGTTGAAGAGAAAATCTCATTAAAATTTTGAATTTCTTGACTGGCAATACGGAGAATATTATCACGTGCAAGAGCTATTCGATTATGCCGTCTAGTTTGATGGTGATGATGATGTTGTTTTGATATTTTCGTTCCCATCAATTATTCAATCCTACTCGATATAATGTATAATAAGTAATAAAAACGGAAGAGAATCAAATATTTTTCATCAATGAAAAGTCGGATATGTGTGAGTGATTTACTTTATATACACGTTTTTATTGGTGTAAACGATCAAACTCGGATATTACTCTTGCAAATAAACAAATGCATACAGGTAAAAATTTTCTTTCTTCATGATTTGTTTTTATCTAGACGTATTTAGATAAATATCATTGAATCAAAAGAATACTGACATTTTTATTGAAACTGTATGTGTAGAAATTACCAACTGATGTACCTGACTTTTTGTATTTTATAAATAAATATATATGCATTGTCTTGATGTGTCCTGCAAATATTTATCAATTACTTAAGTTTAGTTTCCGAAACATTAGCGGATTTAATATCGTTCGTTTAAAGTTCATTTCCATCAAATATGATGAAAAAAGTCACTACTTTTCATCCCAATTTATGTATTTAATCTTTAGTATAATAGAAAAAAAACAAACGAATATTTTCCTTTTGATACTATAACATGTTAACTTAAACTTTTATTGTCAGTAATAACAATAACAAAAAAACAAAATTTTTTATAATTCAATATTAACTGATTTTAATGAGTTTGTAATCCATATTGGAATATCTTTATCTTGATAATAAATTGAAACAAATTCTTTGATAAATTCTGGAAAACGTTGTTCACTTATTGCTTGTCGAATTCGAGACATTAATCTCATCTAAATTTAAATTAACGAGTAAAAATAATATTTTCTCAAAAGAACGTTTTTTCTCAACCTGATATGCAACATTATGAATTGTAAGTAAATGACATGCAGTTGTTTCTTTTGTAACAATTGTATTAAGATATGATCGTGTATAACCAGATTGACAAGTTGAACATATACATTTCTCATCAATTAAACGATGATCTTTTTCATAAATTTGTTTATTTAAATTCAATTGTCCACTATCAACTAATGCACATCCAAAACGCTATCGAAAACAAAAAAAAAGTTTTATATTAAATTATAAAAAAAAATCTATTCATACAGCTGTTCGAGTTGGAAATACACAATCAAACATATCACAACCAAGTGCTGAACATATAACAAGATCAATTGCAAATCTATGAATTTTTTAAAAAAATTAGTTTTTGCAATTCAATTAACAACAAACCCAACACCCATTAAATATCTTGGTTTATTTTTTGGTAAATATTCTGTTGAAAGAGTAACCATACGCCAGAAATGATCTTTATCTTCACCACCACTTAATCCGCCAACTGCATAACCAGGACAATTACGTTTGATTATTTCTATACAAATAAATTAATTTATAATTAACGAATTCAATAAAAAAAAAAAAGATTTTACCTTTAGCACTTTGTTCTCGTAATTTTTCATCAAGACCACCTTGAATAATTGGAAAAAGACTTTGTTCATCTGGACGTGAATGTGCTGCTATACATCGATCAAGCCATCGTAATGATCTGATTTAATAAATAATAGATAGGAAATATATTTTCAATTACAAACCTCCACATAGCTTCTTCAACTCTCGGACCAGTTAGTGTACTTGATACAACATCATCTAATTGCATGATTATATCAGCGCCTTTATAGAAAACAAAATAATATTTTATTAATTTCTATAAATACGAACAATTTATCTTTCTTTGGAGTTTACAAGATATTATTTAGTTTTACTTAAGTAATAATCATTATTAAACTTTCTTTTCATTTCATCTATTTTTTATTATACGAGAAAACAGTAGAAAAAAATCAATGATAATAGCATCTGCCACATACTATGATAAATTAAAAATAAAAAAAATATGTATCATCGGTTGGAAAGACTACCCAAAACCATCGTAATTCCATTCGTTCTTATATCAATTATTATATTAATAAGCTATCAATCTATTCAACATGTAAAATGTCCATTATGTCCAAAATCGATACTTTTCTCGAATAATTCATCAGATATAGAAGATGAAAAGACTGCTGTCGATGATACTTCTTTATTATGTTTAGATTTGGCGCAACGTATTGATAGTGAACGATATTATCCTCAATCACCGGTTATTTTTCCACCTGCATTTAATGATACAAAAACTTTTCGTTTTCCTTACTATCATTATTCACATTGGAAATCATCATCTATTATTCCTCGTGTAATAACTCAATGTGAACATTCATTAATGATGCATTTATTAATAATAATTGATCGAATATGTCGTGAACATAAAATTACTTATTTTATAAGTGATGGAACATTATTAGGTTCTTTAAGACATCATGATATTATACCGTGGGATGATGATCTTGATATAATGGTACCCGATGATAAACGAAAAATTTTAAATAATGAATTTAAAAAAATAAATAGAACATTAATTGGATTCGCTTTACATCATGGTGAGTTACCGGAATATGAATACGATAAATTATATTATAATATTACTCAAATTGCTGGAAAAGATAAATGGCATTTTCCATTTGTTGATATTTTCTTTTATGAACAAAATCGAACTCATTTATGGACTCTACTCAATCCAGATAAACCATTTCAAACAAGATATATTTTTCCATTAATTTTAAGACCACTTGGATACTTATGGTTACCAGCACCAAGAAAACCTCAACGTTTAATTAAGTTTGATCCTTTCGATCAATGTAAAACTAATTTTTGGAATCATAGAACTGAAAGTTATCAAAAACCAGTAACAGTTCAATGCAATCGTTTAAAAGAGTTTTATCCATTTGTTGAACCAAATAAGAAAAAAGAATGGATTGAAATTTTAAAAATTAATAATACTATTATTCATACAGTTGTGTTTACGTTATAACTTTACTCTTTTTATTCGATGATTAGGAACAATATTCCGGTGGGAGGACAAAACGATGTCTTATTTGTTATTGTATTCTTTCGTATTCAGTTAAATTTATCAATTAATAAAATATTAAACTAGCTAATAATGTCGACGATGAATAGTTAGTAAGGTATATATCACGTCGGTGCGGAAAAGAGGAAGTAGTGAGTATAAGTTTTGTACTCCATGCCCTTCAATACTCTTTTCAATTTGTGTTTTAAAAAAGTACATCCTTTTTCTTTTCAAATAAAGCCATTAGGCAACAACTGTTATTGTAAACACTATACATCAAATTATAGTATCCGACTGTAGAAAAATCTTGTTATTCAGAACGATATAATAGCATAATTATAAAAAAAACTTTCTAAAATCTTACAGGTCATTTTGATCTTCGTTCTTTGATTGGAATATGAATTTAAAAATTATATGATTGGATTAATAAATTCAAATGTTATAAATGATAGTGAACACCAAGGAAAACGCTTTATTTACACATTATATTACAAGCTGTTCTATTTTATAAATGGCTTTTAGTACTAAAAAATAGCGGTGACTTTTTTAACCATTCTAGGGTGGGTAAGTGTGGGTGTGGATATAGTCGAAGTTAAGAGAAGAGATGCGTACACCCACACCCACGAATAGAAAGCGAGTATTTTTTCAATAAATTCTAATGGATAAAATGAAACTGTAGCAATCTTGTGTGATATAATAGTTTTCATCTTTTAGTTCGTGAGAATACACAACAGTTATTAATCAATAATATCTACATTGTGCAAAATTCGATGTTATTAGTATTAATTCTAGATATTTATCTATAAATCATCGATCGTTCTAGTATAAAAACTCGTCAAATTTTCATATCTCAATAAACTTAATATAAAACTTACGAAAAAATACTTCTCCTAATAAGATTCTACCATTGTTGATAGAGTTATTATCTGAAGTTTCTTTGATGAATTATATGATGATAGATTCTTACCGATAACATTTTGAATTTCAATGGATTTTTCTGGTGTTAATAACATTTCACTTTGATCATGTGGAGATTGAAATTTGACACCATCTTCAGTTACTTGTGATAATTTAAGAAGAGATACCATTTGAAATCCTCCTGAATCCTATTGTACTCATATGAAACATTAGAATAAATCAAAAAGGAAAATTTACTGTTAAAAGTCCACCATCCCAATGCATAAATGAATGAAGACCACCCATTTCTTTAAGTAAATCAGGACCCTTGAAAAAAAAATATGAAAGCTAAATACAAAAAGAAAATGAATTATAAATTACTGGTCGATGTCCTAAATGATACGTATTTCCAAGTATAATACGACAATTTAATTGATGTAATTGTTCAGGTGTTAAACCTTTCAAAGTTCCTTGTGTACCGACAGGCATAAAAACAGGTGTATCGATCGGACCACGCGATGTATGATTTCGACCAAATGTTAAACGACCAACACGAGCTTTTGTTGTATTACATGTATGAGTTACTTCAAAATTAAGTGCACTGGACGACATTTTCAATAATGAATTTTTCTTTGGCAAAGCCCGAATCATAAACTTTCGAAAGATTTCGTAAAAATCAGTTTCAAAAAAAAGTATTATATAGATGAATGGTTAAAACATTTCACTAATAATAACTCGATTCATAGAGGACGCCATCTATCAAATAAAGAAATCACTGAATATGTTGTATAATCTCACTTATTTATCGATAACATAACAAGAGAAGTTGAATAGGTGATATATATTTCTTTGTAACTTCTAGAGAGTTTCTCAATGGAATCAATACAATTATCAAAAGATCAAATATTTCTCTTATTAATAAGAAAGAAACACGCTCAACTCTTCTTCGTTTACTATACATACTATATGAATACATATAATATCAAAAAATAATAAGACTTACATTTCAATGATTTTATTAGATTTATTTTTCTTATCTAAATAACTATCTCTCTTTTTCAGTAAATCATTTATCTATATTTCTTTGTTTTTGATATTGTCTTTTTTAGTTTTTAGTTACATATATTTTCATCATATTCATTTTTCAATATTTGTGATAATGCTTTACACAATTACAAAAATAAACTCATAACAAACGAATGTTCATCATCAGAAGATCATTTTTTGTTCTGTTCTCATAATATAAACTCTCGCTTCATTAACTATAAATGAGCCTATTGAACTATTGTTTTCTTCTAAACAAGTATTCTGCTGTTTCCTAAAAAAAGCAAGAAATAAATTCCTTTTCTAGAACCTTCAATTATTAACATTAGCTAAATTAATTTCATATTTAATTCAATATATTTTTTACTTTGGGTAAGAGAAATGCTTTTTAAAAAATAACAGTCACATGAAAAATAAGAACATACAGTAATGAAAAAAGTATGAAAATAGTAATTAAATCTCTTATTTACCTTCGAAGAATTGTGTGTAATGAATGCATTTCTATAGAGAAATGATTAAGTAAACATGAATCTATTCATGTGATATTTTCTTTTACCTTCGTCAAACAAACAACTTCAAATAACTGATCACGTAGTCTATATATCGAACGAAAAAACAAAAGTGAAGAGTCTTTAATGAAAATGATAGATATAAAAAACATTTTTCTATAACACACGTTTAGAAAATAAACATTTTTATATACTTAAATGGATAAACCAATAAAAAAAAGGACTGTAATTTTAATTTCAAGGGCACGAACACTTGTCGAGAGAAATATTTTTATGTTCTGTCAACGAAAAGAGTAAAGAAAAATCACTTATTGCTGCACATACTTTATTTTTTCATTCATCACACAAACAATAATGCGATCAATCATTGCCTTGCTTTTCATCATATTTCTCTCATCTGTAAAAGGTTTGTAACATTATCTTTTTTCATTTCACTCTATCATAATATAAATGAACACTATAGGACAAACTACACAACTACCTAGTTATTATTGTACTGAAAATAATGTTTCGATTCAGTTTACATTGTCTTCCTCAGCTCATTCAGCTTCAAATCCAACATCAAGTTGTTCTTTACAACAATGTAATGTAAACTTAACTAATAATAATAACGATAATTGTCGTTCATCATCAACACCTTGTTTTGATTATCGAACAATAAATAATATTAGCTATTGTGCACCTGGTATTTTATGTTCAATATTAGAAAGATGTGATAATATTACGCAAACATGTTCATCAAATAATTCAGTGTGTGTTATTAACTCATGTTGTTCACCACAAGCAGTATGTTTACCATTCTCAGCAACATACATGTGTAAAACAGGTACTAATACATATTATTTATATTTTAGACTGCATCAAAATCAATCAGAACAATTCATTTTAGTCATAGTTATAGATAGAGTATTATTTATTTGTATAAAACCAGGCTTCGTAGTCCTCCTATATTTCCTATATTTCCTATATATTTAAAAATGCTCCTATAAATTCCTATTTTTCATGCATTTTTCCTATATTTCCTATATTTAGAAGAAATTAATTTTTTTTCAAATGAAATATATATTTTTTCGATCAGCAGCAATGCAGAGCTTCTGTACATATGTCATTACTTAGGTCTAACCAAAAGTTCGTGCACTTTAAAAACAAAATATGAAGATAAGGAGATATTTTTCATTTTATTTTATCAAATGTTGAGGGTACTTGCCAGTATTATTTATATTAAGTTCGATTCTTTCTAACAATTTGTCAAAAGTTTTTTTTGAAGTCTTTTTCGAAAAAAAATTTTAGGTAACTTGGGAATCGTATGAATTAATCATGTTTCATCTATTTAATCAGTTAAACTACGTTCGATAGAATTAGTTGGCCAAAAATTACATAGTATCAGGCCTGGCGAATGTGATGGATATGAGATTATATTTATGTCTTTTCTGTTATATAAATAATGATAGTGGATGAGTATGAAGTCAGCGATGATCTTTAATCATTTTTGTATATTTTTAACCTGATGTCTGAGTTTGTTTCCATATTTCATTAACAAAAGGGTTCAGATAATTTTCAGTATCATACTTGTGACCTACAGTCTTGACTTTATCTATACAATGTATAAAAACAGGACCATTTGATTTAAAGAATATACCAAACAAAGTTTTGGTTAAAATTTATCTGCATGAACAATAGTCTCTGACGATTCATCTTCAATAAGCCAGCTAGCATCAAATGACTTATAAATAACCTATATGAAATAAATCGATATCCCATTACTAGTAATGCTAGAACGCAATTGGCATGATTCAACTAAATTTCGCTAAATTTTTAAAAGATATGAAACATGATTAATTCATGCGGTTTCCAAGGTACTTAAAATTTTTTTCGAAAAAGACTTCAAAAAAACTTTTGACAAATTGTTAGAAAGGATCGAACTTAATATAAATAATACTGGCAACTATCTTCAACATCTGATAAAATAAAATGAAACATATCTCCTTATTTTCATATTTTGTTTTTAAAGTGCACTAACTTTTGGTTAGACCTAAGTAAATTCAACTGAGACCATATCTTCTTTTAATTATTTTCGAATTGAGCTTTTTAAATATTTTCTCCAGTAATTAAAAAGTGTATATTTGTTTCTGATTTCTTGGCAACTTTGAGTAAGATAGCTAGTTATGATATTATGAGCACTAAGCAACGTTTGATATAAGTCTATTATAAGCGTATTACTGAAGAAACAAATTCCTATATATTTCCTATATTATTATGAAAATCCTATATAAATAGTACTTTTAAAATCCTATATTTTCCTATATCCTCAGGATGGGTCGCTACGAAGCCTGTATAAAACCTCTATCGAGTGATACTTTTCTTGTGGTAAAGAATAATGTAATAGATAAACTAATATAGACGTGTGATATGGATTGTTAATTAACAATAGAAACGAAAAAGAGATGGGAAACTAAAGCACGCTGAAGTTTTTAGTTTAGTTATTAAATGAGATATTAATACAATTATATATATAGTTTAACTGGTAGAATACGGGATTATGGTTATATAATAATTTAATACGTTTTTTTGTTTTTGAGCTGACATATTTTCTTTACAGAACAAACTTTTGTATTCACGTTTGTTGTATCAAATAACAAAATAATATGACCGAATAGATTAAAGTATACAAATCGTTATGATAGATCATCTCAACTCAGATTTATATTTTGTTCGGTTCTACATGCTCATATATTTCTACTTTTTCGGACGCTGTTGCTGTTCTAGTAATAGTAATTTATAGTTATGTTAAATATGATTTAAGCAATAATGCTGATTATCAATGTTATTCTCATTGTAAAATAGATGAATGATCTGAGATCGAATTTAGCAACAGAATACATATGAAGATAAGTCAGTTTTGATAGAGAATCTGAGACTAATTTTCTATGATCAGCAGTTATTTCACCTGTTTTGTTTTACTTGATGAGATGATTGTATAAACTACAAATCAGATATTAAATACTATCTTTATCTTTAGAATAATCTTTCATATCATATCTAAAACGATTGTAAAGGTTTGTTTTTTTCTATGATAGCGTTCACTACATATAAAACATCACTAAGAATAAGGTCACTAAGAACTAAATAGAATAATTTCTGTAAATAAATAAAGAACCATCAATGCTTTGATAGTTAACTATCAGAAAATTCCAGATCAAGCACTCATTTTCTCACTAGTTTATAGTGTATATCAGTTCTAGCGATGAATGCTATATAGTTCTTTTATCACTTATACAAAGATGATTAAAAAGAAAATATTATGAATAATTCAGTATTTTGATTGTCATGTTCAGAGAAATATGCAAGCAGGGACGTAGCCAGGAATTTGCTAAAAAGTATGTCCGACTTACCAAGTGGTGTGCACAGCTGTAGGAAAAAATTTTTCCCGTACTCTTCTACAAGTACTTATTTCTGAAGGGGTGTGCACGTGCACCCTTTGCACACCCCCTGGCTACGCTTCTGTATGAAAGAGTTAATGAGAATTTCATAATTTTCATCCTATTAAATATTTTTCGAGCATAGCTTGTAGAAAATTGAAGAAAACATCAGTGAGTGTAATTATCACAGTGGTCAGTTTGAGACTAACATCTTTTATATATTTGATTGAGATAAGAGAGAAAATAGAAAATATAGAAAACTAAAGATGAGATAATGATATGTGAATAGATTTTGCATAATATATTTGCCTATTATTCTTGGTCTACATCAATTTGAGGTGATATAAAGGAGACATATCAAAGACTGTCGTTTTTAGAATAATAAAAAATACCATACAAGAATAATAAGTGTTGGTTGTGTGATGATCTAATATTGTATTGTCTTAATATATAAAAATACAACTTCTAGGATGGGTTTCTACTGGCAATATGACTAATGCACGATTTGGTCACACAGCATCTTTATTATCAAATGGAAAAGTATTAGTTACTGGCGGAAACTATGGTGGCTCTTTAAATAGTGCTGAGCTGTATGATTCATCAACAGGTAATTGGACAACTACTGGTAGCATGACTGATGCACGGCAATGGCATACAGAATCTGTATTATCAAATGGAAAGGTATTAGTTACTGGTGGATGGAATGGTAGTACTGTTTATAATAGTGCTGAGCTATATGATGCATTAACAAGTACTTGGACGCCTACTAATAACATGAATAATGCACGAGAATATCACACAGCATCTTTATTATCAAATGGAAAATTATTAGTTAGTGGTGGATTCAATGGGAATATTACATTAAATAGTGCTGAATTATATGATTCATCAACAGGTAGCTGGGCAACTACTGGTAATATGACTAATGCACGCGAGTATCACACAGCATCTGTATTAGCAAATGGAAAAGTATTAGTTGCTGGCGGATATAATAATGGTTATTTAAATAGCGCTGAGCTGTATGATCCATCAACAGGTACTTGGACAACTACTGGTAGCATGACTGATGTACGACAATGGCACACAGCATCTGTATTATTAAATGGAAAAGTATTAGTTACTGGTGGATGGGAAGTTTTTGATTTAAATAGTGCTGAGCTGTACGATCCATCAACAGGTATTTGGACGACAACTGGTAATATGAATAATGCACGATATGTTCACACAGCATCTTTATTATCAAATGGAAAAATATTAGTTACTGGTGGATTTGGTAATAGTAATTATTTAAATAGTGCTGAGCTGTATGATCCAGCAACAGGTATTTGGACAACTATTAGTAACATGACTAATGCACGAGAATATCACACAGCATCTGTATTATCAAATGGACTAGTCTTAGTTACTGGTGGATACAATGGTATTACTGGTATTTTAAGCAGTGCAGAATTATATTAAGTATTTCAAGCAAATTAACTTTCACCTATCTTTTTTATTTTTCTTGCAAATAATTCAAATTCCAAACAAAACTTAAGTTAGGAAAAGTGTCAGCTTGTGACGCCCACTAACTGTTTCCTTTGATGCTTTTACTGAATTATCATTTAATTTATCGTTTAATCCCAAATAAAAATATATATATCTTTGTTTTTCTACTCTTATATAGTAATTTATTATGATTAACAAAAGTTGCAGTTGATATGATAACTTTAATTATCCTTTCGAATGTTCTCTTAATTTTACAATGTCGTTTTTCATAATATTTAATTGTCTTGATAGTTTTTATCGGATTTAGAATATATAATCAATGAAACACTTCAGTTACCAAAAGACCTTGAAGAAAGTTCATGAATGACACAGATGAATATGTCTGTAAATTACAATCCTAAAAGATAATCTAAATGGAAACATGATGATATCAAATTGTGTTTCCCATATTAAAAAAGTTCTAGAAATGCTTTTATCTCAATACTCGATTTCTATTAGTTCTCAGGGTGTGGGTGTGGGTGGGTATGGGCATGAGTAGATCTTTGTTTCACCCACCCACACCCACCCATCTTCTCCTGTACAAGTACTTTTCGAATTAGTTTATAATGTGTTAGTTAGCCTACGAAGAGCACCAAACAACAGTATAATTTCATATCCTTTGGATTGATCTATAAAAAAAGGATATTATACAAATATCTCGTTTGCTTCGCTACATCACACTTATTTGTCAAAGATATTTCTTTTTTTTTTTGCTTTTTCACCTGAAAAATAATGCAATTTATCAGTCTTTTTTATTTCTCTTGTAAATATTATATTGAAATATTCGTAATAGAACTCGCCCATTTTGCTAAACAATATTTCTTTAAACAAAAGTCTTCTCAAAGAGTAAAAACTGACAGCCTACAACTAGTGATGCTGAATACCATAATTTGATATTTTATTCGTTCACCTCTTCCATCGATAAGAAATAAACATCGTTTTTTCATCGACATTACACAATTTTCTGCAACATTATCATCAATATTAAGGAATTCTTCAGTTAAAAACAGCTCGGGTTCACTAGTATTTGTTGGTTTTCTTTTTTCTACCTTCATTATTATAATGAATATACTAACTTATAACTTTTTCTCTTTTTCACCAAGAACACGTGGTCGACCATTTTTCAGCCCGATGTTTGAGTAGACCTTCTTGTTTTAATTTTTCAAGACTGTAATAAATAGTGTCAGAGATGGAACCGGTATCGGTCCGAACTTTAGGCTGGTAACTATACCGGTGTTTACCGGTCCGCCGGTTTCTTACTGCCCCGTTTTCTAATAAAAACTTTTTTTTCCGAAAAATTATTTTTTTACCAAAAACTTATCTGTACCCTCCTACGAGGATAAAATATGAACGTTGTTAGCAGTCAAATCCAGTGTCAGATCCGACCAAGTCGAATCGAGTTAATGACTTCTATACTACTAATTTTTACCGGTCTACCGGTTTCTAACCGGTAGACCGGTACCGGTCGTCAAAAAACCGGACCGGTTCCATCTCTAAATAGTGCTGAGTGATATATACTTGTTTCGCGATAAATAAGAGAAGTAGATCGTATGCCCCTGTTCTAGAAAGACAAAATTGAAATATAATGGCTTTTCAAATTACTGGTCGACGACATAATTGAACGAATGTATTCAAAAGGGGAAAGAAATTACACTTTTATAAATGCAACATGTAGTATGTCTCTCAAGGATTTATCCCTGGAAAAATCAGTTTTATATTCATGTGTAATAGTAGAAAAATAGCAGTCTTAAAAAAATAATTTCCAAGTTTTCTTGCAAACAACTGTATTTATTATGACTGTAGTTGATATATTTTACTTTGTTTATTTTATTTTTTCTATAGGACTATTTCATCATGAAAATATATGAATAGTAAAAACTTTGTCTATATTTTCTTGGCATGTTTTTTTACCATTGGCACGGTATGGTACTTTAGCTACACATTCGAGGTGCCGAAAGGTATTTTACTTCAAATTCCTATTAAAAACACTGCTTCCTACAATGAACAAACAAAAGGGCGATGTAATATATTGTTTGTATTTTTCAAATTGAAATACTGCTAATCTTCCATTAAAATCATAGCAAATAATCTCGATCAGGTGTGAATGAGACAGTAAGATGGATATACATATTGATATTATCTCACATCCACACCACACTAAAATAATGACTTGGTAACAAGAAAAAATAGTCTGTGCAGGGTAATAACAATTTATCGACAAAATGTTTCCATATTCTCATTATCTGATGCTTACCTATTTTATATAAAATAAAAATTATAACTACGGTTGAAACTCTTCCAAATGCAAAAACTGCATGGAAATTTAAAGTCTAGTCAATTCTATTGAAATAAACTTACAGTTGTTTAATTGAAAAATATTTCCTTTCTTTTCAATTTTGAGATCAATAAAATATTCTATTCATGATTTCTCATATTATATTTTCTATTATATCTTTATTTATCTTATTCGAAAATATATTTATATTTTAAAATCTATTTTTCTTTATTTCAAAATTATAAAGTTGTTTCGATAATCGTTTTTTTTCTTTTTGATTTTAGAACGACTTTTAAATATATAAATTATTGATATCTTTTTTTAGTTATAAACTCTTTTATTTATATCATCAAATCTTGAGAAAAAATAGAAAAATATAATGCTTTTCTCATTTCATATATATTTGACTTATTTCAGTTTTTACCAAAGGATTCTTCTCAGTAATAATATATATTTAGAGAGAAATTGTCATTTATAGTATCATTATTAACTCTATTTTTAAGAGATACTTCATGATTAAAATTAGAATTGTTATTATTCAGTCAATTACTATTGATCTCTTTTTCTCTATGACAATAATAACAGCAGATACAATCATAATATTCTGTTGAAGTATGGCGATATACAATCAATTGTTAATGTCAATTGATATAAAATTTATGGATAAATATGCTATTGTTAATATGTCCTATACTAAATAATCCAATTTCGTTAAAAGAAAAAGAAATAATTATTTAGCTTGAAGTTATGTATAATTACATTCAAATTTTGAAAGAATATTTTTCTTCGATAAAATATTAGAAGAAAGAAAAGACGTTATTAACTCAATTTTTCTAATGTAATCATGATGATGCTGTTTTCTATTCACAAAAGAAGTTAACTTTTTCTTGCCATTATTATTTATATTTAGATGCACTTTTTTGTGAAGCAACACAGTTTGTGTTATTGTGATCATAAATGACAGATGTTGCCTGAAGCTTTCTGTTTCCATCGTTTCTTTTCTGAAGAAAAATCGAAAAGATTTTCCAACTAATTTTATTCCTTTGAAGACAAAACACTTCATAGCAACACATAAATGAAAGAAAAACAAAGGCAAAACATCTATTGGATGAATATTTTTCATTGAGAAAAAAGTACATTGGAATGTGTCGCTATGATAAACAATTATTTTAGAATACTGAAAAAATTGATTGTTTTCTTCTCAATTTACACGGTTATACACAGATATCAATCAATTTTTACGTTGATGAATAGAAAAAGTACGACAGAAAAACAAACGTGAGATTTTTGAAATGTTGTTATACTATATACTACAGACACTCGAAAAATCCAAGTGCAGTGAGTTTGAGTTAAGAAGACTGTATAGTTTATTTTGGTTCTCTTGTCTAATCAAATAGCTCATCTGATCACTCTCCGTTTATATACTAATGATCGACTTTATTCTTCATATTTTTCATCTTTATTCATTTTCCATAGAGCTCAAAGGGCTATTTATGAATATATTTGTTCTCAAATAACTTTTAAAGACAGGCATATCAGCTTTCTGAATGGATAATATTTTGCCAAAATAAAAAATAATCAGGACTCAGATCGATGGGTGGGTGTGAGATAATACAGCATCCACACTCATACTCAAGCATGCTCATCATTTGTCAACCCACTGCCATTAAGATCTAAAAGAAGTTAAATAAATCTTTACACGTTGAAAAAAAACCATCCATTTTGCAGTTATGTATGAGACATTCAAATATTGAAAGAAAGTAAAGACGTCATCAACTTTGTTTAGTAATTTTTCTAATGTAATTATGGAAACGCCATTCTCCATCCACAAAAAGTTTACATAAGTTACTATCATTGTTTTTCTCGCAGACATGTACTTTTTCTTATTGTAACTATAACAAACCATGATCTTTTCATAAACTCTCCGTTTCTATCGTTACTTTTAACAAATAATCAAAAAGATTTTCCAACTTTCTTCTTCGTCTGATACATACATAATATATCACAGCAGCATAGAAACGAAGGAAAAGAAGAAAAAAAAGCAAGTTATTAGTGGATAAATATTTTTTCTCGAGAAAAAAGAGTTTAGAATATGTTGTTATGATAAACAATTATTAAACTTATTTTAGAATAGTGGAAAAAACTGTTTGTTGTTATGTATCTAATATATAAGATGTTTTGTTTTTCATTAATGCTATCATACATAGACGTGGATTCTGACTGTTTGGATCATTTTTACATTGATGAAGAAAAAATGTGATTATCTGTTATATCGCAGATCATAATATTCTTTTATCAATCAAAAATTGAAGAATAGAAATGACACTACATAGGAGCAAAAGAAAAATTGTGAAAATATTGTCATACTCTATGTTAGAGTCAATTGAAAAAGCTAAATCCAGTGCGTTTGAGTTTGAATGAACATCTAATTTATATATGGACACAATGGATTAAATTTCAATTCAATGATTTTGATTTTTATAAGAAAAATTTCATTTGCAACTAAATCTTGATTATTTTATATGTTTTTTCATCTTTATTTATTTTTTATATAACAAAAAATATTCTATTTGTGTATATATTTGTCTTTAAATAACATATTATCAAAAAAAAATCGACTTTCAAAAAGATGTATTTTTACAAAATAAAACAAAAGTCATGACTACTTTTTCCATAAATTGGATGAAATGTAATAAGAAAAAGAGGGAAAAGATGGGCAAAGAAGAAAAGAAATAATGTTCATCGCTCAACAGATTCTTTTTCTTTTATTCTCAGTTAAATTCATTCCAACAACTTGCAAGTTAGTTGGTGATGACTTCAAGAAGAATTTGTTTATGGTTTGTATTTATGATTATTACACAATCAGTTGGAGAAGACATGCGATCAGTTCGAATGTCTTTAATGCGTAATTCGAAATTTCAATGTGCTAATACAACTTGTTTACCATTTATTAATTTTGTTACAAGAACTATTCTCAATTGTCAAGCAGGTTGTTTAGCTGTAATTCAATGTGCAGCAGCAAGTTTTCATCGATCAACGTCTAATTGTGAATTATTTACTGATAAGTCAAATGAAATTGCACATATGCAGGCTGATACTGACATTACTACTATGATTGTTATTGCTGGAACACGATCTCCACCTGGTTAGTATGAATATAGTAGATTTTGAAAGAAAAAAAAACATTTTCTTCTTTAATAAGCTTTATTCATAATTAGCTTGTTGATCAGGAATATGTATAGAGATGAACCATGTGATTGTTCACTTTTTTATATCGTCTTTGCCGCATCGGAAACATCGAATATACACAATAAAACAGAAAATGAATGCATACATTCATACCAATTGATATAGAAGTAATAAATTAAGTAGAGCTCCATTCAAAGTTAAGAAAAGGAAGAAAACAAACCTTTTTTTTGCTCATTCATTACTTATAATAAATAATAAATGATGAATGTTAAAGAAAAGTTTTCTTTTTTTCTTTTCTTACCTTTACAGTGAAATCTTCGTCATTTTGCGAATTAATTAGAAATCATGAGTGGATCAGAAAAATGTTTGATTGCATCACAGATGGAACCGGAACCGGTCTACCGGTTTCTTACCAATCTATTCTCTATTAAAAACTTATTTTTTGACCCAAAATTTATCTGTAGCCCCATAGGGAGATAAAATATGAACGCAATTACGAGTCAAACCGAGTTAACGACTTTTGCACTACTCATTTTTGCCGGTCTACCGGTTTCATATCAGCCAATGCCACTTTCGTAAACTAGAATCGACTACGACAGCATCAACAACAGCATCGTCATCCACATCATCGTCAACAACAACAACAACGTCATCAACATCAACTACAACAAACACATCAACAACAACATCAACAACAACTACAACACCAACAACAACAACAACCACCAGCACCACAACAACAATAACCACGACAACCACCACAACAACCACCACTACTACAACCACAACTACCTTTACAACAACAACAACCACTACAACAACAACTACAACCACAACAACTGGTAAATGAAATATTTTTACTACTTTGTAATACTTTTTTATCAATACTTACGGTGAGTAAGATTTGATTAGATTAGCTCAATAGTTATCCTGACACGACTTTTTGTCTCGCCTAACTCTGTAAGACACATAGTTGAAAACGGGTGTGGTGTTCAATGTCGAAAGAGAAAATGTCGAAAAAAAGAAGGAAAATATCGAAAAGGAAAAATTATTTAGTATAAAGACCGAGAAGACTGACGTCGAATAGAATAGATAATCAGCAGAAAAAAGTAGAAAGGAAAATGCAGGTAAACAAAATATCGAATATGATGTTTCTATTTTTTGTTTTAATATGACACGATGGGTGCGGTGGGTGTAAATGTGGGTGTAGAGAGAGTGTGAGCACTTTTTCAAGAAAGAGATCCTCACGTTCACACCTCCCCCACACCCACACCCTTACGTTGAATCGAATACAAATCTCAAAGGTCGAATAAGATGCGAGAGTTAAATAGTGTGTATACGTCAATACAGATTATGAAAGCAAATGTTTTTTGTGTTTATTAGCATGCAATTATTTTCTCAATCAAACTACTTACTCAACTCCTGCTCGACCATACTCAGTAGCAGTCGTCGATGTTAATAGCGACACTAAACCTGATATTATTGTTGCAAACTATAATTCGAACAGCGTAGGTGTTCTTCTCAATGCAGGCAGTGGCACTTTTAGTGCTCAAACTACTTACACCGCTGGTACTAATCCAATATCGGTAGCAGTCGTCGATGTCAATAGCGACAGTAAACCTGATATTATTGTTGCAAACTCTGGTTCGAACACCGTCAGTGTCCTTCTCAATGCAGGCAGTGGCACTTTTAATGCTCAAACTACTTATCCAGTTGGCACTCTTCCAATTAGGCTAGTAGTCGTTGATGTGAATAGCGACAATAAACCCGATATTGTTGTTGCAAACCAGGTTTCGAACAATGTCGGTGTTCTTCTCAACACAGGCAGTGGCACTTTTAATGCTCAAGTTACTTATCCAGTTAGCAGTAGCCCAGTTCCTGTAGCAGTCGCCGATGTCAATAGCGACACTAAACCTGATATTATTGTTGGAAACCAGAATTCGAACACTGTCGGTGTTCTTCTCAACGCAGGCAGTG